CGGCGGCGGAGGTCTCGGGGCCGGAGAATATCCTCCCAACCTCTTCCACAACCGTCGAGGGCCCCTCTGGCGAGGCAAACCAGGCCGAGACGGATGTTGTAGCCAACGTGAACGTCGTGACTGAGGCGGAGCCCCTCCCAACTGAATGGGGTGTGGGCACCAAAGAACCCCCCATCCAAGCCGACCCCGTAGACCCAACGATTCCTTCCGAGTCCTTACTGACGTCGACGGGCGAACAATGTGAAGACAATCATGCACCACATTCCGAGGAGGTCCCCCAAAGTGGAGACAGGATTGACAACAATACCGACCACACGTCCGAGCAGGATCTCTCTAAGAAGAAGGTGCTGAAGCGCAAACTTTTTAAAAAGAAAAAGAACACCCCAACTCCACTTCTACGCAAACACTAGTTGAAGGGATAAATCCAATCCCATGGTCAATACAAAAAAAACAAAACACTGGCTTCAACAGGGAAACCCTTTCACACACAATGAAGAAGTACTCTGAAGTTAGGTGCGCATGGATGCCCAGTGTGTAACGAGTAGGCTTTTACGGAAAGCCATGAGTTTCATTCCATATATGTGTTTCATTAGCAATGATTGCTTAATTTCATAGAATATAGATACAACGAGGGATAGTGAAGGATCTACTCGACGTATTAGATTGAGATGAAGAAAAAAAAGCGAATATTATATACTAAGACTATTGATGCACACTGTAGAGACTGTATATAACATAACATCTTATATTATTCTCCTTAGATAGTAAAAACAAAAGGGTAGTTATTCATCGAACAAGTCTTCGATTCCAGGTGCTGTTAATTGTAAAAAGCTGGTTTTCACCTTATTGATATGTGTAGGACCTTACTTACTCTCCTTTTTTTTACTTTTGATAATACTTTAGGAACTTTAAATACAGGTAAATATCAATAAAATTATAAAAAAAAAGGACATTCCCAAGTCGGAAAGAACTTTTTATTCTGTTTTTACCTGTCAAGTGTGTCTTTCTCATTTATATCACATTCAATTCTGGATCGTAGTGAAGTATCATATACACACGCCAGCGCACGGAATAGTCTTGGGTTCACAAAGAAAACCGTAATGGTTTCCGAGCTCTGTACTACACCCCCTCTAAAATGGCGTGCGGCGCTGACTGTAAAAATGGGGAGGAGTCCTCTTTGCGCAAAAAGGTCACGATCACCGAGACAGCGACGCCCCACAACATACAATTTATTTGTAAGGCATCATTTCCAAGATACAGAGATTTCCCATGAATCTCCCCAACAACGTTTTAAATTGATTGCATTTATGTGGAAGGAGCTAAGAGAGCATAGTCACGACTATTTGGATGATGATAATCATTACGAGGAGTTTGAATTTATCCCCTATCATAAACCGAGGAAGTTTGGAATTTTAAAATTCATCTGTCCCTGCTTTAGATAATCAATATCTTTAAGGGAAGGATTACAATCTCAAAATTGTTTATTTGCTTGCTAATTGATTCATTCAAACGTTAAGGATTGTCCTTAGATGTAAAAGTGCATCTATTCATCTTATGAATGAGATATGTTTCATAACCACTTCTGACATTTACTCAGTATCATAGTTTCATTTGAATATTATTAATTTTTTTTGAGTGTGAAAATGGATTATTATCTTTCCGTTTCATATTCATTGCTATCTTCATTCTCATTTTTTTTAAAGTATTTTACATATATATATTTTCATTATACCGTTTGATGCAGGGGAAAATGAAGATACTGTTTTGCGAATATTTGAGTTATGCAGTTTCTTATTTTCTTTCTCATTGCATCTGCGGAATTATGTACTACATCATAAACCTTAACAATATTATTGAATTTTGATTAACTCCTCCACATATATGTCCATAAAAATGGATTTACTATCTTTCCAATGTTGTTGTAGTCTAATAATTTGAGAGAATTTTCATATTAAGCAGTTGCCTTAGTAGTTTGGTTTACAAACGGGAACAAACTATATGGTGAAGGGAACACAACACTGATCTAAAGACTTTTAACAGAAATAAAAGCCACCGTTAACACAGCTAAAGGGGGAAAAAATAATAAAGGATGTTCTCTCGTTCGATAGCTTTGCTTGAAAAGTCGCGTCGCGTGTCGTTATTTCCTACCTTCCCGTCCAAGGTTGCGAGGGCAATAACGACCTTAGTTAAGCCCAAATACAAGAAGCTGACAAACTCTAAACATGCTGAACTCGCGCTGGCGCTGTATAAACGGTACGGCAATTCTGTTATAGAAAAAGCAAAAGCCTTACAACAAAAGAAACTCATGATGTCGGGAAAAGGAATCAAGCACAATGCGAAACTTCCATCCAAGGTGGGAACCATAGAGAGCAAAGGAAGTCCCAAAACCGCCCGTCCCAACCCTCATTCTACAAAAACAAAAAGACTTTCCTCTGGGGAGAAATCAGCCTCCCAAGGGGGAATGCGGTCTCTAAACCGAAACGAACCTTCCGGTAAATCCAAGCGGTTTCATTCGTCCGTATCCGCGCCAGTTGTTGCGGTCGGGCGACACTCCGGGGCGGTGATCCGCCCGGGGGGGGCCGACCCTCACGCGAGACACCCATCCTACGATGCCTTTCGCGCCTCCGTGATGAAACACGGAAATTTTACACCTTCGAGCGCCTTATACAAACAAATCCACCGTCTATGGCGCCTCACCTCTACCCAAACGCAACTCAGCAATAAAGCTCGGGAGTATATGGTCCTTCGACTCATTAAAAAGTCGCACCATGGATCTAAAAAGGGATTGCCGATCGTGAAAAAGCAATCGAAGCCGTCGTCGAAGAGTAAAGCAGTACAAAAAAGGGCTGTCGGTACTAAAAAAAATCCCCCAAAGTCGTTTCGAAAGTCCAAAGTGAGTGGAACTTCAAGAAAGCTCAAGGGCACGAATTCTAAGAGTGTGGTAAAGAGTCGTTCTCCCTATATTAAGTTTTATCGAGCGATGGTCATCACTGGTTGTATCCCCAATCACCCTAAAGGGGTGCGCTCTCGTGTGATCAAGGAGCTATGGAATTACACCAACCACCTCAAAACACTCAGCTCCCGAATCAAGCTTGGGATTGCATTTGCGACTGGTGCTCAGAAATTTCCAGACACATCGCAAGTCTCTAAAATTATGAATAAGAAGGCTCTTAGTGCGCCAATTCTACCTGTTAGCCCTACTAAGCATCAGGACAAGAAAGCCCCGAAAGCGGTTTTGTTAAAGGTTCCTTCTGATTATAAAGAGGACCCATTTATCGCCACTTATAAAATATTAAGAAAGTATATTCCGAATAAAACGGCAGACGGGCGTATGAAAGCCATCTCAAGGGCATGGATGCATACTAATGTTCAAGTTGGAAGAGATAGAAGGACACCCACGCAGCGTATTCAGGCTGTCGTCAACGAACTTGGTTTGTAATAAGCTTCACCTGTTTATGAAATAACCACAACATTTTTTTTTTTGTAAAGGGTCCTCTAAATCTCTTTTCTGAATGTAGCAAAACATTCGCAGGTACTATTAACTATTCCCTCCTGTTTATGATTCCTTTATTTTCACATAGAAATACTTCGTACATATCATCGCGAAGAGATAATATATTTTTGGTTCCACTATAGTTTAGAGTAAAGAAATATTAAAATTAATACAATACTCGTTTATATGAGAGAGATGGATAGAAGAAGAAGAGAAAAAGGGGGGATATGCGAACTTTTTGTGTGTGCATGTAAAACTGAAATATACAACTTTGTTGTTTTTTACTTGTACTCCCCTCGTAGATAGATTCAATGCTTTATATTTTTATTAGATACCTTTGTGTTCTAATATTACTATTTAACATTTAGATAAATTTATATCTCTAATACTAAACTTCATATTAGGGACTTTAAGTTCAACCATTATCATGACTTTGAATATCATTACTGAACTCCTAACATGCTACTCAACCTATAATGCGATGCTTTCAGATTAATCTAATGTCAAACACCTTCAGTGGTTAACCCCCATTTACCCACACTTTTGTTAAAAGGTTCCAAACAAATTAGAAGTACCTCATCATCCAGCATAGATCAATCCCTACAGAACGGTGCCTCTGGTGTGGTATGTGTTATATGTATATACTGTTACTCTACTGTCACCACTTTCTCACGGACTGACGCTGTTACACACTAGGCCAAACCTCCCGATGGCTCGAAAGGCGGACGCGAAGCGTTCCCGTCTTCCTGTAGGGGTGCAACGGAAGGGGCCCCAGCTGCGGATCAATGCCCTGACACATCTCCTTCAGGCTGTCCCCGTCCCCCCTGAGGAGTCTGCGGGGGAGGAGGCCGGACAGGCCTTGGGAGGTAAGGCCCTTCGAAGCCGTCTCGCCGCAATGGGGCACGCCATGCTTCTTCTTGCGCACGTTGAACGCGCACAGCAGGGCGCAGCATCCCCTCAACGGGCGGCCCCCAGCGTGAAGCTGAGCCGGCGCTGGATAGAGGCCGTCACTTATTACTGTGGGGTGAGCGTAGGCATGGACGACGTCGCCAAGGTTGCCGCAGCGTTCCCGCGCTGGATGCGTGTGAAATGGGGGGTGGAGGAAGCGGCAAATGGGCTTGCTCGGAGTCAAGGCCTTCGGCCGCGGGGGACCAATTTTGGCGAAGCAGATTCGCACCCCGCGGCCTCAGCAGGGGGCAGCATGGAAAAACAGTGCATGGGGGGTCCGATGCCAGCCGCAGAAGAGCTTACGGCGAGATTTTACATACTGGCTTCTCATGTTCCTTCCATTGAGGAGGCTAGCACCGAACTCCAGAACTTTCTTCGTGCCAAAGACGCGTCCGAATCAAAGAACTGGCTTGACAAAATCGTTCAATATCGGGCTCTCGACGCGTACACGGAGCAGCAGCTTGAAGAGTTCCCTGGTGGCCCAAGCCCAAGTGCCCATACCCAGGCATCTCTTGGTGATATACCGGTGCAATCAAAGAAGGATGAAAAGAAGAGGGAGGCCCCTGCACCCTCCGTGGATGCACCGGACCCAGGAAGAGGAGGAACCTTTACGGTCTCTTCACCTTCCCCATGCATGCCCCCACAGTTCTTGGACTTTGCCCCGAGTGAACCCCCACACAACGATCATGACGAGGACGATGTGGCGTTGCTTACTATGCTCTCCCCGCAGCTGAAGGCCTCTTTGTCTGCCGCAAAGCTAAAAGAGGTGCTGCGATTTATGAAAAGGGAAGCCACTAATGCCGCAGCGGAGGAACTTTCCAGGATTGAGAAGAAACAGGAGGAGGAGCGTTTACTGAACACCTATGCACACCTACGATCCCTTTTTGGACGGGGAAAGACGGAGCTGAATGCTGCACGTCTCCTTGAGCGCCTAGCGACGGAAAGTCTCTTTGAAGATCATCCTCACGTTCTCTCACAGCTATCGTTGCTCTTGAATCGCAGAGGCTCCGGGTTGAGCGCGGTGACTCTATCGCAGAGTGAGGATTGTGTTGTGAACAGTCCTACAGGTGGTCCAGTTGCCCCGTTGAGAAAAGTGGATGACTTGGACAGGCTTACAGCAGATGAATTAGAAAACACATTGGTGCAGTTGGATCGCACTAAAGCTTTTCTAAAGACTTCGTAGAGGGATCGCCTTCAGAGCAGCGAGACGTGCGTAAAGGGAGAGGATGATGGACCCGTGCGCACCAAGTTATTTTGTTTCCTACGCCTCACTGGATCTGTTTATTATTATTATTATCACATTAAATATAAAAATTCCTCCAGCCTTGAAGTAGAATGAATAATATCATGCTTTTTTTTCTAATTCAATGCAGTGAAGACAGGTAAACCCTTATTGAGCGTTGAGACAAGTTCACATTTTGGGTATCCACTGAGTTATAGTCGCTTATTCTGGTCTTGTTCTTGCTGTTTCTCTTGCAGGGTATTTGTTGTTGTCTTTTACATTCTCTTCACCTTTTCCCATCGTACATTCACCAATAAAGATGGAATATAAAGGTTGTACTAGCCTCGGAAATACCTAAGCAGTACAAAAAAAAGAACAAAGGTGAGTTTAAGAGGTTATTCTACAAAGCAGTACCAACTTGGGCGAAAACATTACGCGACTTTTGTAGGATCAAGCTTTTACCTATGAATGTACTTTACAGCATCACCAAAAATTTACCACATCCTGTAAAAGTGCCTCGTATACTCTGCTCTTCGCTCCGACTCAAGGATTCTTCTGTGCTACTTTCGCGATTCTCAAAAGGTGATTCGCTTTTTGATGCAAAGGCAATTAAAAGAAAATTCGAGGGTTTAACTTCAGAAACGCATGATGACGGTATTAGGTTGCGGGACGGTGAAGTGGTCGCAGGAGTAAAGGCTCAAAAAAAGGACGATTCTGTAAATTTTATCAACGATAAAATACAGAAAAAGAAAGGGTTTAATGCACTTACGCGTTGGTGTAGCGTTCACCAGGAGGCCGCTGCGTTGTATAGTGGATCCAATGACTCCTACTTCCCGATCTTGGAGTTTTTGAAAGATATCCACATGGTAGATATCGCCGCTATCGCATGGTTGCAGAGCTCTATGTCTACTTTCTCTTGCAGCCAATGCCTTGTCATTATGAGTTTTCTTTGCGATATTCTATATCAAAAGGCGCGTGTGTCTTCGTTAGAATCAGTAAATAAGTGCGGAGAGAATGAAGAATTCAAGAAAACTAACGATTCAGGGGAGACTCTTGAGAAAAGTTTTCTTAACACCATACTCGCCTTGAGACAGCGCGTTACCTCGAGCGAGTCCTTACAAAACCAGCCTACTTCGCTTCTTCTTAGCAGTATTTATGGGCTGCACAGGATTTTATCGAGTGGGTTTCTTTTTCTTAGCTCTCTCAACACTTTGGAGCGTTCTGTCATGGAGATGCCGGACATTTTTTATACCGTCGTATTTCAGCAGATGCAGGAATCTATCGCGAGCACTACCTGCGCCCAACCCCAAAGTGCTGACTCCCCTCTTAGTATTGAGGTACTTTTGACTTTTATGCTTGTCTTCACCCCTGAAAGGCGAGTTGAGTTCCGCTCTCAGGCGAATCAAAAAGTATTTTCTGATCTTGAGAATCTCCTTGAAGAGAAAATCACTATCTGCCTAAAGACCAGCGAAGACCCACACACGGCAACAGCGACAGAGGAAAATTTAGCCGACACGAGGGGTGATGACGAGAGAGGAGAGGATGTTGAATGCTGCGGAGCAATAATCTCACCAGGGGAAGCTATGCCCACCACACCCATACCAAGCGCACTGAATTGTGCATTTATGAATATCATCTCACTTTGGGAGTGCGCGGAGCTGATGCGCAATGTGAGCTTCGAAAAGTCGTCATACCGCCTACGCCTGCTCCAGTACGTGTGCTGTTTTCTACAGAGCCCGAGTAAATTCACGTTAGAGGAAATTAAACTACTTCCGGATATATTTCGTTCTCTTGAGAACATCGGGGAGGGGGCTCAAGGGAGGTGGCTGACGGACTACATTATTCAGCAGTTGCCCCCTCTGAAGGTCAGTATGATGGTAAGCTTGATTCCGTACACACAAAATCCGATTGCATATATCCAACGCTTGGGACTGACAGATGACTTCATTAAGGACCTCAGCTCGGAGGATGCGATCGAGATACTACAGGCTGGATTGCCTTTTATCTCCTGGAAGATCCAGAAGCAGCTAATCCTTGAGGGTTTAGATCAACACGATCGTGCCATTATCGAGGATTTACTAAATCCAAAAACAGAGCCTTGTGCGAATTTTTATTCAGAAACAACTTTAGGAGGTACGCTCGTGCTAACACCACGCTATATAGCCTTGTTGTCCTTTCTTATCCTTAAAAAGCTTCCGAATATGAAATTGGATTCAGCTGAGGAAGCGGATTGCGATGAGGTGTTTCTTTGGGCTTCCGTGTTTATGACATCAGCGGATTGGTGTAAAGGTGTTGAAAACGAGCAACCCCACGACCACTCTGATGAATCCATCGTCCCCTCTGCGAACACGAAGGAAAAGAACAAGAGCCCCCCGAATGGCATCTGCGATTCTTTAAAAGTTTTGGAAATTTATGTAGCTTATCAGGACCATTGCAAACTCATGGAGAACTACCCAAGTAAAAAAAATGTATCGCTGCGGTCCATCATTTTGGACGATGAGACGCTGCTCAACCAGTACGTTCGACATGTGTTTATGTTCACATTGGCGTCTAAAAAAACCGACGTCATCACAGTCCTGATGAGCCTATTTCCGTATTTGAAGGATCGAGGGTCCCAAAAACAGCTGATGAATCGCTTGATTCGCTATAACGAGACCTCCTCAAGGCCGTCCTTGGCGCGCTTTATCGAGTTCCTCTCCGAGGAGGCGACGACGCTGTCGGCCTACAGCTCAGAATTGCGTAAACTCTTTCTCAAACAAAAACACTTGGATCCGAAGCGGCTGGCTGATGCCGGGGAGTGTGCACTGCCTGGTAATCCGCCCTACTCGACGCGCTATACTTTGTATATTCTCCGCTCCCTTCGATATATGGTGAACGATAAGGAATGGCTGATCCAGGGGCGCATCGAGGAGATACGAAAAGCCGTCACTTTTTGGCTAAGTCACTACTTCTTAACCCTCGGCAGGGCAATAAAGATTCCAAAGGGGTGCGTGGAGGATCGCACGGAGGGAGTGCAGCCTGGCCCGCCCTCGCAGGTGATTTTAGAAGGCGAGAGCGACGGCGATTTGCTTCGGGAGAAGATCACCGACGAGGACCTCTTTCAATTCTCCCCAAAACTCCCCCTTTCCCCTCTCTCCGGCTCTTCTGGCGAGTTCACTAATTTAATCAGTGAGGATGATATGGAGGAGATGTTGAGGGTGGTATATAAACTAGGCTGTGATCCACCGCACTCCATGCTGCGAGTGGTCAGTCACTACTGTCAATCGAGGTTTCACAATCAGGGCGGTGTGCAGGACGAGACGGAGGCGGAAGACGTCAACGCGCCCAATCGCATCCCCCCATCTTCCCTTTCTCCCTCAGAGGAGATTTATTTTGTGAATATGTCTTCTATACCTGGGATGACCCCAACGAGCGGTTTCCTTCCTCTAGCCTACTTCCTGATAGCGGTGCGGTCCGACCTCCCCATCCCATTTCCACTGTGTCGGTCCTACCTTGAGTTTTTGCTGGGGTCGTGCGACCTTGAAATGATCAGCGATGTCTTCAGTGCCTTTTTAATAGCCGTCCATCGGCGGCGCTCTTCTCCGGGGCTGATGAACGGCCTGTGCATAATCGCCACCGCCTTTGAAACCGTCCTAAAGCGTCTTCCGGCGGCGGCGAACAACGCGGATTCCGGTGAAGCGTTTGAGAAGAATCGAAAAAAGGTATCCACAGCGCTCGCCCATCTGACGCGCATTTCCATGAACTCCCTTTTAAAAACGCGGCGGTACGCCACCGTACTAGATAAATGGTCCAAAAAAGAGGAGATGGAGGGGGACGACACCTCATCGAGAGAACAAAGCCAACGTGGAGAAATTTCATCCACCACGGAGCGAATCCACCCTGAGGAAGCTTGTGCGGCAACCACCACAGACGGGGATGACGGAAAGAAGCAAGCGTTTACCGTCCAAAGAACGCTTAAAGAGGAAATCACCAGAGTGGATGAGTTCCTCCTCCAGGCATTTTCGTTTTTCAGCGACGAATTGGTCAAGGAAATTACATTGCAGTTCGCCCACCTATTGCATTCCACTTTTTGCGTTGCCGGAAAGTACTTGTTCACGCGAGTTCGTGAGCAGTTGAATAACTTTTCACAAAAGGAGTTGATCCTGTTAGCGTCGCGCTGTCCATCGGAGGTGGAAGAGGTGCTAAAGCACATCATAAAGCTGGATCCGGGACTGACTATCGATTTTGGTGAATTTTTGAAGGAAGCGAAAACCATCCCGATGCCGATTGTGGAAACGGTCACGGGCGTTCACCTTGACGCCTTGAGTTTTACATTATGCACGCGATTGTTATCTACATTGGTGTCTCGTCCGAATGAAATTTCCGATGAATTTCTCGCGCGTGTTTTAAAACGCGTGATGGAGGTCGAGACCGTCAGTGAGTCCGACAGGAATCTCTTTCTTTTTATTATTCAGTCCTACTTACCCATCGCCGATCCCCCACGGGAAGGTGCCCAATCTTCCCCACATCGCACCGAGGAGCGGGCCTTTCCAAAGCCCTCGCCAAAGTTCGTGCGAGCGCATAGCGGCAACACTGAGGGGCATGTTAATTCCACCGAACTGGCGGCGTCTTTGGCCCCTGCGAAGCGGGATTGGTCCGTGCGCGAGCAACTCATCCACCGATGCCTCAAGCAGATTCTCTCCATCGATGCCATCACGACAACCGATGCGTTGATTCACTTTTTGCTGACCCCCTTGCCTATTGCGCAAAACCTCGTCGAGCTGGCGCTGATGGAGCGGGCCGAGAAGGTCACCACCGAGTACCTGCGCCGCGAGGACGTCGTGGACACCGCGAAGCTCGCGAAGCTAATCCAGCTTCTCGATCGCCACCACCTGCCGATTCTGCCGATCGCGCGCATCATCAAGGCGAACCTTTTCGACCGCC